AAAAAAAAAAAAAAATCCAAAATCAATTCGAATATCAAAAAATCTTGCAATTGCTACAATTCCACAGTAGTAAATTCATCCATACATCGATTTTTATTCAGCACACGTATCTATATTCCAGACCCGTTCCCCCATGCACGTATGCACGTTGTCCAAAGAAAGTGCAGGTTCTCTGTGATTAGCCAAGGGAAGCCGAGAAGCCTGAGAACACGGAGGCGGGATCTGGACGCGCACGTCCGTTCACGCGGTAACAGGCCGCGGACCGACGCGAATTTGCGATAATAACGAAGGACAACGGACGGATAGAATCGCGGGAAACCATAATCGGATCATTGCCAGCCGTGACTCGTCGCAATCGCTCTCCTCCACCGTCCACCAGGGAATCCTGGTCGATGCGTCACACGATGCTCGCGTACGAAACGCGTTTCCCTATATTTCGGTCTAGAGATGGACTGTTCCTTAGCCGAGGTAGCAAGAAATTCCTATAGAACGCGCCACGGGGGAGCGAGGGGGATGAGTCATCGTTTTTCTTGTTCGCAAGATGGGAAAAAGATGCCGACGAGACGAGATGGACCAGATCTCGAACACGTTAACGCATTGCGATCCGTGTCACCTTGATTCACACAGATGAATTCGTTCCTCTTTTGTTCTACCACTTCCTTCTTCCCCTTCTATATAGGTCCCATCTTATCCACTTCCTTTCTTCTGCTATGCTCGTGTAACGGGCCCCTCTTTCTTCGACATCGATCTCGTTCATTTCGATCCTGCCGTTGTTTCTTCTAAAACGTTCGATGACACGACGAATGAGAGAGGATTATTAGGGGATCAGAAGGTTCTTAGGTCGTATCTTGAGAAGATTTCTTCAAGTTGAAGATGATAAGTATTATGGGACAATCTTAACGTGGGATTACACTTGACACTGGAACGATCTCAAGGATTGTCTGATCTTGATATACACTTTTTCGAGTATAAATTATTTATTATTTGATAAATTTGATATTAATAAATGAGGTTTTTGTCGATATTTAAAGGTATGTTAATAAATAAATCATATTATATACAAAGCATAATATAATGCGATTTGTAATAAAGCAAATTTCCAATTTAAACTTTATTTCTTTACGAAATGAAACAAAGCTAAAAAGTTTCGTATAAATTTACGGTACCACGAATTAACTTAATTAACATTCATCATGTTGATGACTACGTATTAACGTATTCTTATTAGATCAGTTTACTAGGTTAGTGAGAAGAATATAAGATTGAATCTCGATCGAAGAAAAATTCGTGGAATTCAACGTGTATCTCTAATGAAAGTTCCAGTTCATTTAAGATCGATAGGAAAAAGTGACTCCGGAAAGTCAGTTTTTCCCTCCATTTGCTCTGGACTGGTTATCTTCCTATAAACACACGTTCGAGGGATCACTATGATAGAGGTGGTAATGAGGCAGTCGGAACCGGTGTAATTTCTGTTATCGAGATAAACGCGCGTGCACGTTAACTCCTTCTAATGGCAGGGATGGGGTTCCTTTCAGGACTGTTAATTGCGAAGCTGCGGCTTCTCGCGGAAATCGACAGCTTCCCACGAACGAGAGGCCTCGATTAAAAATGTGACGCGTCAAGCTAATCCCTCCTGAGCAAATTGTTTCGATAATACCATTCAAATTTATTAGAGAGAAATTCGTAGATACAACTATTTTAAAAATACACGACAGAAATATGTAAAAAAAATATAAAGAATTGTTTTCACGTCCTAAAATTATTTTTGTATCAAAATTTCCATCGGATCATTCGTGCGTGTTAAATTATTTGTTCGTATTTAATTTATTTGTTTATTTCTTACTCGAGTAATTGAGAAATTTCACGATTTTCCGTGATTTGCCGGGATAAGTGGAACGTATCTGAAGAAAATTATTTTCTTATCGATCCCTTAAGGCACGAATAGTGAAAAAAATATTTGCCAATTAGAAATCGCGAGCAACAGGATTGCCTCAGAAACAGGGACGGAAGATGGCCGGAAGGGTAGGTATTGGAAACAAACGGGTCTCGTTGAACTATTTTGTTAAAAGGTTTTATTGTTTGCATTGCGCGAGCGTATCAATCCGTTCGCCACGCGTAATTATTATTTGCTCGCTGGCGGCACGGTTAAACGGAACGGAAGGTGTTAAGCGTGGGATGGCCGACTCGAGAATACGAAGGAGGAGGATGGTCGTTAATCACGCGTAATCGCATAGACCACATGCGAGCGTGGGTGGAGGATCGCGAGTATGTTAATCGTTAAATGCCAATGTTACGATTTCGCGTGAGATTATCGACAGCCTAGCTTGTCTCGAGATAATGATGTTAATTACTAATCAAAGATATCTGTGAGAACTGGTGAAGATAAATGATTAATTTAGTCTCGAAAGGAATATTTCGACAACGGAAGATATTAGAATAAAATATTACGAAACTTAGTAATTTTCTTTCAATTTAGATGCAAGATATCCTCCAGATTATTTCAAAAATCTCCAGTTAAACAATGTTCCTATATCTTTAAGATACTCTTTATACTTTCTATATTTTATTTGAAATGATATCAAAAGTTATTCTTCTTTCGTCGAAACCAACATCCAAACCAAAATCCAGTTCAATATCTCTACCTCTTTTGTCGAAATTACATAATCGACGATACAAGATTTGAATTGAGAGAACGGAAAAACGGATGGAGAGTAAGAAAGATGGAAATTCAATCCGACGTTTCTTCCTCTTTCACACGTGCCGAAACGCAAGATAAATTTGGGGCAAAAGAAAGGAGGAAACGGATGGGAGAATGGTTGGAAGGCGATTCTTGTTTCAATTCCGTTATTCCAAGTCTCTGGAGGTTTTCAGTCGCCTCGGGCACGAAAATCTTGGAGCGGGCGTGGATCCGCGTCGCGAGAGGGAGAGCGTAATTGGCGCGGTTCGTGGTCGCTCGCGATCTGCCACGATCGTCGCCGCGAGGGATTCCACGTCTGTGAGAAACGTAGCCGGAGCTGTGGAGTCCTCTTCGCTTCGTTCCATCCTCCACCCGCGGTTACATTGCCGTACAGTTACGCATTTGAAAGTCAGATCGCAGCGACAAGCGTTGTGCGTAATTTACGAGCGTTTTCCGTGTGGCGATAATGCCGCTCCAATATCGTTCCACGGCTATGAATTATGACTATTTGTTGATATTCATAAACTTCCGACTTGCTCGCTCCAACGATCGCTACAATAAGAGAATAATATACAGAGTACGTGTATTGATTGTAATTCTCTCTGTGTAGAAATGTGCATGATGCATGTGCGTTTATTTCTTCTTTGATCTCATCCTATTTACCTATTGTCTTATTGTTTTATTCTGTAGTATTAATTAATTTTTTTGGGATAAAAATTTGTCGAGCTTTGATTAATTTATACCATGTTTTTGTAAATAGAGATTTTATATCTCTCATATCTGCGTACGTAATTTTAAAGTTAAAATTCTCGACTTCGGTTACCTCATCGTATTCGAGGCGTAATGGAGGCAAATGGATACTCAACAATTTATAAAAATTCCACGGTTTCTTGCGAACATCGGGCGTTGGGTCAGGCTGAAAAACTATACTTAATCGGTTGAACTCGTACAAGAAGTCGACCTCGTCATGTTTTCCTCGTCATGTTAATGGCCATTTTACCGTTCTTCGTCAATTCCAAAGTTTCAATCTCGGTTCTCGCCTCACGATTTCGTACGATTAGCGAATGAAAAGTCGTTCGATTTTCGATATCTCGTCACGCATGGAATTATCGAGATCTGTGGGAACTCGAGGGACAACGAGCATCCTGTGAATTCGAAGCCGTTCGAGCGAGACACGAATTTCGAGACAGAAGAAGAAGACGTTCCCCTTTATCCTTGAAGAGGTTGGCACAACTGTCGCGGTTAAACGGAGTAAAATATCACTTTGAGCAATCGTGCGTATCAAGATCGAGGAGACGTCTGGCTGACTCTTTTTGACGAGCGAATTTCTCTCTTTTGTCGGGAGGAGAAATAAAAAAATAGGAAAAATTGTCGAGAATGAATTGAAAATAAGTCGGAACCTAAGAATTTTTCAAAGGTTATATCTTGTAAGAAAAATTTCTTCCAACAAATTGGCCTTTTTATCTTAGATATCGCAGCTTAAATTTACTATGACCGATCAATAAGATAAGAAATATAAAAATGAAACGTAAATTTTTTGCTATGGATTAACAGTGGAAAAAAGAGATGAATTCGAAGCTAGACATTGGTATTTCCCCGTGTTTACGCACGACAATTCGTAGCTATGAATTACGTGCTTTCCAGCCGACAGTCATTTGTGGTTAACCAACGATCACTGTCTACAAGACTAGACGAGAGGGATGATGGATTATTTTGTGATTCCCATCCTGGGAGTAAGAAGAACGACAAGGGTGCGCTTCGAGAATTCACTTCAAACATTTATCCTCTTTCATAAACGTGTGTCAAAATTGACATCTTCGACAAATATCATCCGAACGTTTCCAAATGTAATAATCTCTTCAATTATTATTATTATTTTTTTTTTTAT